GGCTCGAACTTGTGTCCCCTGCATTGGCAGGCGGATTCTTAACCACTGCGCCACCAGGGGAGCCCTCTTATTCATAGGACACTGTTCATGAATTGTGTCTTCATTGAAGTGTTGCTCTTTGAAGGCTATGAAAGCCGTCAGTGGGGAAATGAACGCAAAGTTACTGCCGAGAGGGGTCTGTCCCTTTCAATACTTTAGGAGGCTGCTCTGCAGCCCTGGTCCTAAAAACAGGATATTCTGAGGCTTCAGGAAATTTCGGGTCCTTCCTTGGTTCTTTAGACGAGCATACTGTCAGTGGCACTTCCTGAGTTCATTCTATAGCAAACACACTAAAATGTGCCTCCAAAGAATCCCTCTGATGATTTGACAAAGTGACACAAGTTCGGTCTAGGTCCTCACAATTTTTTTGTAACTCGTGGTCAGTCTTAGCTTCGAGGCAAGAGAGTAGATTTAACACTCTCTGAATAGGGAAAATCAGAGAATCGTGCATCCTCAGACACAGAAGGTCAAGTGCTCACAGACCTAAGAGTCCCTCAAAGCACAGAAGGGTGACGTCCATCAGCAAATATTTAGGGCACTCTGCCGTCTGCCTGGACTGTTCCCCGGGGTCTCTAACGACCACTTATGGCTTTAAAGGCAGCTCTGCCAAAGGACTGGCAGTCAAGCCAGGTCTTGAATGCACTTCCTAAAGGTGTCCCCCCTTTTCCCTCTTTTATCTGTTGACTACAGCCTTCAGCTTCTACAGTTAATTGACGATGGATTTTTTAAAAACTGTGACGCCACAGGTCGTTGGCACATTGTTGGGCTTGTCATATAGCCTCCTTTGTGTTGCAACTGGCACAAGATCGGAGCCATGCTTGTGAGGTTCCTTAGCCAAGGTGGTGCTGGGGATCCAGAACTATCCACATTAGAAGAAAGAGAATCAGAACGACCGAGCACCTTGGCGTGCCCAGGACTGCAGGCTTTCCTGAGATGCAAGACTTCCAGAGGTAACACTGAGAAAGTTCCCTGCAAGCCCAAACAAGTTGTTCACCTGATGGAGAAGGAACCATCTTTGCCACATTACGACCACAGCCTTCAGTTAGTAGTCGTCCAACTAAATCTAGCGTAGAGGTCATGGCCTGTTAAAACTGCTGGGGACTTTAGCAGTCATCTACCTCCTCTTTTTCACAAAGATGCTCAGACTCAGAGTGGTATAGACATTTTCCCCAGGTCACACAGCTTGCTGGTAGCACATCAGGAACCAGACCCTAGGTCGCCACAGTCCCAATTTAGGGCACTTCCCACCGCATTACATTTTTTGCTTTGCCAGAGTCTCTTCCTATTGCTCTTGCAGAATGAGTTCAGCTGGGTTTTCTTCTGACCACAGGACTTAGCCGTTAGAACAGTGAAAACTGCTGTTTATATTGGGCACTGCTTTTTTTTTAATGTTGGGATAGTGAATGGAATCAGGTTGCTGTAAACAGCCTCAATTGGTCACCATCTCCATTACCACATGTCACCCATTCCTGTCATTTCTACAGCCCAGCAAAGTGTCTTCAACATGCAACCATTTGTTATCACTAAATGCTACCCTTGGTGGAGACAGTCATGTGCCAGGACAATGTACCCCTGGGTGAGTGGATCATGTTTGTGACTAGCTCACAGGCACAAGGATTAGTATCTAGAAAGTGCATGAAAATCTTGCTTCTTCACACTTAGATTCTTTCAAAGGGAAGTTCTAAAAACTGAGGTTAATGTACACAACAATCGATCCTAAGCTCTTTACAGATATCATCTCATTTACTCATCACATCCTCTGAGAGAGGTACTATTATCCCATTTCACATACAAGGAAACTGAGGCACAGAGGGGGTAAGCAGCTAGCCCAAAGAGGTTTTGTTGTTGTCGTTGTCTTAACTCTAGTAAGTGGTGGAGTCTTGTTTCTGAGCATCACGCTCTTTCAGGAGAGAAAACAAGAGCTCAGAGGTGACAGTAGATCAAACCAATCCAGAACGTGGACTTGGGTAGCAAGGTAAAAGGTGGAGGGCTGTGCTCCCAGGGTGCAGGAGATAAACCAATTGGGTGAAGATCTGCAGTGAAAAGGAGAGACTCTGTCAACCTCTGCATGCAATGTACACAAAGGATAAGGCAGTACGTTTCAGCCCGACTTCCATCTTCATTGGCTATCCTCACTCTAACATAATAAGTACCAGACACCCTGTGCTGTCCTGCTTCAGTCCATGCTGGAGTACAGCCGGTGGTTCTGGAAAATTCTGCCGTGAAGTACCATCGGTAACAGCAGTCCCTTCACAAAGCCCTTTCTCACCTCCCCAGCCTCATTCGACCCTCTGAACCTCTTAGTGTTGCATCTTCCCCTTGGATGCTTAGCCTGGACAGCCACTAGGTCAGCTGGTGGGTTGGATAGGACCTGCCATATGAAATCAAACACTTCCGAGGAGGTGTGTGTGACAGTATTAATGAGGTGCAACTGCCAAGTTGGTGAACTGATTTTGGTGTTTCCATCTCTCCATTTTCTTCCTCCCTTCTATTACATTTTATCCTGTTTTGTCTTAAAACCGTGATCTTCTCCAGTGGACTTGGTTTTAGCTCTTTATATTTCACTGGGACTTTTTAAGACAAACTGTTGTCACTCTCAGCATTACCCGCACTTTAAAGCTGAGCTTTCCTGGCGGAACCATAATTAGAAGTTTACTTTGTCCAGGACTTCCCTGGTGGTCCAGTGGTTAAGACCCTGCACTTCCACTGCAGGGGGGCGCGGGTGTGATCCCTGGTCGGGGAACTAAGATCCCACATGCTGCTCGCACGGTGTGGCCACAAAGAACTTTTTTACTTCGTCTCCACGAGAGTAACTTAAAGCATCACAAAATAGGTGACAGTTCCTGGTGCTTCTGCAATCAAAGCATGTGAAAAACTTCTATGGGGCCTACATTTAAGTCTGGTCCGTTCCAACCTATGGGTATTGAACACGACTACTCTGATGTATAAACGCACACTGCAATCTTCAATTTTATAGGAAACATCTAGAATTCTTACGTGGCCCAGATATTATGCTTTGGGGCAAGGAGAGCGCTCATCAGTTCTTCGGAAACACCTTCAAAACGGAGAAAAGCTGACTTCAATGAACTTCTGGCTTTTCTGTAACTTTATATGCTGGGCTGCAGCCATGATGCAGCAAACACTTCAAAGTACCCATCAAAACACATCACTCCATCAAAACATATTACTCCACAATGATGATACAAAGTATGAAAGAAAGAAGGAGCATGATTTTATTGAAATGTTTTTAGTACAGTGTTGGAAGATCTTCGAATCCTATATTCTAAACCAATACAAGCACTGCAAATGACGTAGTTCCTCCCTCTATTTGACATCATATCTACCAAATGAAAGTTAAACTACGAATCCCTTTAAGTTGGTTAATGTAACTTAAGTTGGAAACTGAGCAACTTTGGTATATTCATATTTCTCTGGCTCCCCTTTTTGGCTAGATGTACGCCAAGTCAACCGCCATGCAGCAGAGTCAGACAGGACCAATATATTTGGTGGTTTCACTGAAATGTTTCCGCATAAGCAGCAAGGGACGCACAAGTTCTGGGATTAAGCTGCTCTCGAGGCCGTCTTCATCATCTTTTTTGAACTGGACCATCAAATAGTTAAGGGCTACGTTGCCGCTGTGCAGGGCTACGTCTAGTCTACTTAGTTGATAGATGTACCAGAAGTACTTTTAAAATAAAAAAGTGGAGATAAATAACCACAGAAACAATCAGTTCTGAATTCAGAGAATGACAATACCGATTTTCATCTCTTTATCTGAAGATCATTATTTTAAAACTAGCTTGGGCTTCCCTGGTGGCGCAGTGCTTGGGAGTCCGCCTGCCGATGCGGGGGACGCGGGTTCGTGCCCCGTTTCGGGAGGATCCCGCGTGCCGCGGAGCGGCTGGGCCCGTGAGCCATGGCCGCTGAGCCTGCGCGTCCGGGGCCTGTGCTCCGCAGATGGGAGAGGCCACGGCAGTGAGAGGCCCGCATAACGCAAGAAAAAAAAAAAAAACACAAAGTCCATAGCCTAGTGCACTAGGCTTAGGAAAATTGAAATCAAAAAGACAGAACTGGTTTTAGTCATTGTCAACATGTCTACACTGGGATGCGAAGCTGTCTACCTGCATGCGTTCATAACTACATTTTCATTTCTCTATGCATAGAAATTTCAAGAAATACAGATATCACTCATTTGTCCAAAATAAAAATTACATACATCTAAATAGGCTCTTCACATATCTCAAATCAACTCTTGTCTAGATAACGTCCATCGTATTGAATAGCTGACCTTAACCACGCTACACTATGATTTTTTCTCAAAAGCCCTCTTAAGGTACAGCAAAATGCTAGTCTCTGCAATGACTAAAATGATACTTTGAAACTTTGATGCACCCTCTGCTGTAGTGAAGTGTGAAACCTTAAAGACTGCTATTCAGGTTTGTTAACAACTTAAACAGATTTCATTTTTCCACCCACAGAATTTAGATCAGAGACTTTCTTCTCTTCAAGTTTTGAGATTCAGCAGAAGGAGATTGTTATTTATTATTCCTGGGCTTTGTCTGTGCAGGCACATTTTCTTCTTTGGGGGCGGAAGCACTCAGTTGGTTGTCCACCAACGCGCACTTAGGAAAATTCAGAGTTGATGCTTGCCGCCTGCCACCGGAGATGGGGGCACCTCACTCAGCAGTCGTCAAAAGCCACCTGTGGATAAAGCTATCTTCCCTCCATCATCACACCTGGGCCACCATTTGAACATTAACTTCATGGAGCAACTAATGTTTCCTTATTTGTCCTTTTTTTCCTAGGCCTTTCTCACCCACACTTTTCATGTAACAGCTTTAGTTACAATAATCTGTTGCCTAGGAGGCTTGCTACTTGTGATTACAAAAGGCAAAAAAGACCATGAGATCAACACTAAGGAAATAATATTTAAATATGTATTTGGAGGCACCCACAAACAATTCACCTTTTTCTCATGTCAAAAGCAAAACAGAGATCAGACTAGTAAATGTGAGGGGACTTAGCAAAGAAGTCTTTGTTGTGACGGAAATCCACAACATGAAACTCTTGGAACAAAGGCAAAGTAAAAGCTAGAGCTAAAAACAGGACATTAAAAAAAACAAGATGGCAGGACATGAGGTGCATCTGGGATGGACACAGCATGAATGTGACAGTGAACTTGCAGACTACCTCAAAACAGTTTCTCTGTCAGCTCTATTGCTGAACATGATTTTGGAATTTTAGAACAAGGTATTTCAGATAAGTGACAGTTACGATTTTTAGAAGTGGCAATAAAAAAATACTGAACTACATTGCCTCTGATATGTCTAATGTTTACCAGAAATAAACGTGTCAGTGGCCATCTTCAGCTACATAAAATTTGGTCCAAATTAAGCATAATAACCAAAATGGTTTATTGGAAACCTGATCACTAAAACAAATACTCAAAATTCAGGGTATTAAAAATTCTCTAAGGTCGACTTAGAAGCAAAAGGCTAATTCTCTACAGGGTTGCACCCAAATGTCCATAGGCATTATCATTTTATATTTACACAGAGGCTTTAATCTGAGCTGACCTTTGGTAATCCTGAAATACATAAACTATGAACTTCCACAGTGGAATTATAAACTTGAAAGTTGTGGCCTCAAATCACTGACAGAAGAAAGGAAAAAAAGGTCACCTAACAGAACAAATCACGATAACAGAAACATTTCTCACTTAAGACTGTTCACTTAAAGATCAAATAACCACTGCCCTCCCCACCAAACTGAAAATAAATGGTCGGGAGCTTTAAGCGGGGAAAACCAGTGGACCTCGGAGTATACAAAGATCTGATGCTTCTGCATTAATATAACTACTTAGTCCTAAAGCTAATAAATCAGACAAATGCACGCAAGTCAGAAGCCAGAGCAGGTTTGCTTCCACACCTCACATCCTGGATTTATAGTGGGACATGGCTGAACAGGTAAGACACAGATTCACCGTTGTGGGTCCTTCGAATCGCCTCCGCCAAGATCATCGAAATGTCAATAACCTAAACACCAATGAAAAGACAGAAAAGAGAAGAGGAAAGTGGGACATCTCAGTCATGTTTAATTGGAAACTTAGAAGCCAGAAAGCCTAGAAACGCTTTCTCCAGCACATAAGATGTGCTACTATCGAACCTCCCCACAGCCATTTCTTCTGAGAGGACAGACAGTTGTGGGTCTCTCTTCAAATTACAATCCTGTACGGGATCCTGGAAGTGAGATTTTTCAGTGCAGATACTTCTAAGGCTTTTCAGGGCCGCTGTTAACCAGAGACATCCGTTACTTTCGGTGTTTGTTGTTTTAAAATTAATTTTACTCAATCATTATGTGGAAGGTTTTTCTCTCTCTTGGTTTCTGAAAACACAGAAACTGTAACGTCTGACAGCACAGCTGTAATCATCTAACTCCGGGGTCAGCATGAGAACAGCCATAGACAATACATAAATGAATGGGCATGGCTGTGTTTCAGTAAAACTTTATTTACAAAAAGAGATGGTGGGCTGGATTGGGCCCAGGGGCCTTAATTTGCTGACTCTCAACTACTGAGAATCAGACATGAAAATCTAAGGCACAGCTATTTTGACCGCTTTCTAATGAATCTCCCGGTGCCGAATGAACTGTGTTGCTCTCCGATGGATGAGAAATCACGAAGCGGATCACTCTGATCCATCTTCATGCTCTAATGATGGGCATGGGGGCTTCCAGCAATGAAAGGACTTGCCAAGGTTCACCAAGACACTGAGGCAAAACAAGGACTCAAACCCCTTCAACTTATTTCAGGCCAGCTGGTGTAAAGTGATCATTGCCAACTCTCTGGGGGCCTCCCAATTCAGGAGGGATAGAAGGAGTAAAGCTAAGAGACCCCTGGCACAGCCAAGCTGCCTCTTTGTTTTCCTCCCCCATTTAAAAAACCTGGGGCAAAATACATGTACCACAAAAGATGCCATTTTAACCATTTTTAAGTATAGAACTCACTGGCATTAATTACATTCCCAGTGGTGTGTAACCATTTCCCAAACTTTTTCATCGTCCCAAACGGAAGCCCGGCACCATTAAACACCCCGCTCCTGGTAACCACCACTCTGCTTCCCCTTTCTATGAGCCTGACTACTCTAGAGCCCTCAGCTAAGTGGAATCGAGTTTACTTATCACACAATATTTGTCCTTTTGTGACTGTTTCTTTCACTTAGCATACCGCTCTCAAGGTTCATCCATGTTGTTGCATGTATCAAAATCTCCTTCCTTTTTAAGGCTGAGGAATATTTCATCGTATGCAGAGGCCACACTTCGGTTAACCATTCAACTGTCGGTGGGCATTTGGTCATTTCCACCTTTTGGCTACCGTGAATAAGGCCTGCTGTGAATGTTCGTGCATAAGGTTTTGTTTGAACAGCCATTTTCAGATTTGGAGGAATAACCCTGGAGGTGGACCAGGGGGGTCATGTGGTAACTCTGTTTAGCTTTACCACAGCCTGTTTCTTAATGTTCTTTACTTTGGCTTTATTCACTTACTATTTATAACTTTGACCTCTGCTGGCCCCAGCCTTTCCCAGACATCTAACATGTATCATACCTTCCCATTACGGGAAGCTACAACCTCTACTGACATCTGCTTAGCAAGTGGTCACACACACAGGATGCGAGTTGCCTCCCTGCTTGGCTCTGCCTGCAGTGTAGCCAGTACCTGAATCTTGGAGCAGTGTTTCATTTTGTCCTCTTGGGGAATAGTGTTTGTCACAACAACAGCCTCAAAGGCGGCATTATTTATTCTGGAAATAGCTGGCCCAGAGAAGATCCCATGGGTAAGGATAGCATAAACTTTGGTGGCTCCGGCCGAGAGCAGCCTATAAAATAAAAGAGAAAAAAATTAAGTGCACACAAATATTCTTGAAACATTCTCCCGTTAGTTAGTGTGAATTTAAAAGCAATAGTGTGTTCCATAAAGGAAAACAGGAAACCAATTTCACTCACATTTATCAGTCTAAAACAGGATCTTTTAAGGTACGTGCTGGCCAAACACTTTAATTCCCTTGAATCAGGGATTATCAGCCTTGACGTAGGGCCCAGATAATTCTTTGCTATGCAGCACATCCGTGGCCTCTACCCAACAGCAACACCCCTCCCCTCAGTTGTCACAACCAAAAATGTCTCCAGATATTGTCAAATGTCTCCCAGGGAACAAAACTGCCCAAGTTTAAAAGAGTAAAGCCAAAATGTCACCATGCTGCCATACAATCAATACACAAAACTGAGGTATTATACACTCTTTGTTCTGTTCTGTCTCTGAAACCTGCTGTGCATTCTACCCTCCCAGCACATCTCAAGTCAGATGGGCCACAGTCCACGCGTTCTGCAGCCATGCACAGCTTGGTGGTGGCTCCCACGCGGGACAGCCCCGCTCTGAGTCCCTGGAAGCCAACGGCTGAGAAGGCTGGAGTGAAGGCAAGCCAAGGAAGCGAGGGCCCGAAGAGGCCGAAAGACTGTCTTTTTCCTCCTGTGCTCAGCTTCAGGAGAAGCACCTTCTCTGAACTTTTTAAAAAATACACTGAAAGTTCAACCTTGAAAATGAAAACCAGGCCATAAAGGACCACAGTTTATTCCCTACCGAGAAAAAAAAAATAGGCCTAGAGTCGACTTTGGTCTGAAAAACTACTACTAAGCTATCAGCAATAATTAGGAAAAGTGAGCCTAGTTTTTAACAGCTGGCATTTTTCCATTCTTAATGAGACGCCCTAACACTCTCCTCAGCGGTCCCAAACCACACTCATACTTGTCCGCAGCATGGCAGATGGTGCCACATGTGTCGGCCATGTCATCCACAAGGATGGCCACGCGGTCCTTCACGTCGCCCACCAGCACCATCCGGTCCACTTCATTTGCCTTCTTCCTCTCCTTGTGAATCAAGGCAAATTCCACATTCAACCTGTCTGCGATTGACGTGACCCTGCTCAAAGACACAGACAGACACGGACTTAGAGAACAAGCTTATGGTTAGCAGGGGGAAGGTGGCGGGGAGGATAGATTGGGAGTTTGGGAGTGACATGTACACACTGCTATATTTAAAATAGATAACCAACAAGGACCTACTGTATAGCACAGGGAACTCTGTTCAATATTCCGTAACAACCTAGATGGGAGAAGAATTTGAATAAAGAATAGATACATGTATATGTAAAACTGAATCACTTCACTGTATACCTGAAACTAACACAACACTGTTAACCAACTATACTCCAATATAAAATTAAAAGTTAAAAAATACAGATAGGGAAAAAAATTAGACTAATTCTGAAAACGTATTCCCAGAATTATATTAAAAAACTCTAGATTCATTACACACACAAAAAAAGACACAGACAGACACATCAAACACTGTCAATACAAAAAAAATTGTGTTCTTCATAGCTGTATTTTAGGACTGTCGTGACCAGCCATACTCAAGATAATGCAAGAATCAGGTCTCCCTTGCAAAGCCAGGCCTGGTCTGGGATACGTATTAAGTGACACAAGGGGAGAAACATGCTAGGATGTGGCCTCGCATCTGTGGCAGCTGGGGAAGAAAGCCAGGGCGCCTTGACCATGGGCTAAAACTCCTGGCTAAGAAGCTGACACTCAACAGGTTAGTGTTCGTGGGTACCTTGTTTTGTTTTGTATTTTGCGGTACGCGGGCCTCTCACTGCTGTGGCCTCTCCCGTTGCGGAGCCCAGGCTCCGAACGCGCAGGCCCAGCGACCACGGCTCACGGGCCCAGCCGCTCCGCGGCACGTGGGGTCTTCCCGGACCGGGACACGAACCCGTGTCCCCTGCATCGGCAGGTAGACTCTCAACCACTGTGCCACCAGGGAAGCCCTCGTGGGTACCTTTTAAAGTCAGGAGCACAACTAAAAGCAAGTTATTTAGAAAGTACTAACTGCTCAGCGTAGGGAGCAGCCAGCGGGGACAAAGTCCTGGTGAGCGCAGCCACGTAATCTGTACGCTTAGGACAAGGGGCTTCTCGGGACGCGAGGCCTCCGGACACGGTAATCACGGTCCAGGCCTCTGTGCAACTAGGGCAAATGCTCAGAAGTCATGAGCTCTGAAAGGTCTGAACTGGCAAAGGGAGGAGAAGGTGGCAGGCCAGGCTTGCTAGTGAGCCCAGAACATTCCAGACTTTTCCTGGGAAGAATAGATTTCAATGATGAAACACTGCAAAATAACGCCACAGACATAAGGTGACATGAAGATTTTCCCGTTTCACGTTTTGAAATGATGGTCACTCCTGATGCAATTCAGCTGAAAAACTTTTTATTGAGGGACCAAAACACACACACTCACACACCCTAATTTAGTATGCAGCGACTGGAGGATGCAACCTCTGGACGCTTTTTAAGTCGTGGTCCCATTCACTGTGCCCTCCTCAGCTGGCAACCACGAGAGGCGCCCCATGCCTGCTCTGATCAAGCTGAGTGTGGCCAAGGCGCTGAGAGGAACCCACTTTCTGGGGCCAAGAGCGCAGCATGAAGGGGACTGTGTACCACAGGTTACCCCCGCTTGTTTCTGAGAACATTCATTTTTTTAAATCGTGGCATATATATAACTAAATAGAATTTGAATGCTGACCAAAATTTTGCCCCACAATCGCCCTAAAACATATACTACTATCTATATGCCAATTTCATAAAAGATGAGCCATTTAAACTCCCATTAAGGAAAGCTAGTTTCTCAGAACACAAGACAGGTTTTCCCAAGAAAAGACTCTTGAACACCTTATGTATGCGCGTATACATCAAAATTCTGTTTATCTGTAAGGACCAGGAAGATCTCGGTGCGGTGGGGAAGCGCCACCATTGGGGCTGAAGTGTGAAGCAACTCAAGTCCAAGCATAACCTGCGTTCTGCCATGTGATCCGCTCTCCTAAGCCTGTGCACAAACACACCAGCAGGGGGCGCGGAGGCCTGCGTGGGAAAGAAGCTGAGCTAGGCGGTTTTGGGGGGTGGGGACAGGCGTGGAACATGAGTGGGGGAGCTCCAGCCACTGCAGGTACCCCGTGGTAACATCAGAAGCAGAGAATAAAGGAAAATATCCCTGCAAAAAGCCCCCTGGGTTGCGAGAACATTCCTATTTCTCCGCAGGTTCCAACTCTTCTTTTCCTGGTGTATAACTGAGACTTAATACCTATTCCTAACATACGATGCTGAGACAGTGTATCATATAGAAATCTTGGGTGGAAAAAGCTAGGACAAAAATAATACATAGTTTGATTCCCATTTCTTCTGGATACACTATTACATTCTCTTTAAAAGAAAAGAGAACAAAGTCAAATCTGAATTATTCAGTTTCACCAACTTCCCAGACCAGTTTTACGTTAATATTGACTATCTCAACAGTGGTGTGTTTCCTAAGGTTTATTTTTTTCTACCCACAAGTGACCTCTTGTGGCGATATTAAGTTTTGTGGAGATACTAACTTGTACCTGGAACAAATCAAGCCTCAAAGTTTTTTCTACGACAACAAGCTCCAATTTGTCAGATAGATATCTATTTTTCTTGGTGAAATACGACTTCTTGCATCCAACAAAGAAGCCACAGATAATGTCAACTGTATGTATCATGCGTTACCTGCGAGGTTATTTTGTCGGTTGGGGAACAGCTTACTCCAGGATATGAGGATGACAAGGATGTGTAGCAAAAACTGGGGAGGAATGGAAGTGACGAAAAACCTGAAATGCACGCCCCTAAAAAGCCTGCCTTTCCCGGCAGAGGGGGAGCAGGAGTGATCGGAGCAGAACTACTCTGAAGGGGATCTGAACAAAAACAGCATCTTGCTGCTGGCCAGTTCCTCTGGCTAGATGACTCTGCATTTTTTAAGCAGGAGTTGGCAAGTAGATGGGGGAGGCTGGTATACAATAAAAGACGGTATTTCAAATCAATGTGAGAAAAACTGATTACTGAATAGCTTTGGGGACAGTTCAGATAGCTGGGGACAGGGGGAGTTGGATTCTTAATTCACTCTTTATTCCAAAACAAATTTCAGATGGAAGAAAAATCAAAACATTACAAAGGAAAAAAGCAACCCTTAAAACATATGAAATCAGGGGAGAAGAAAAATGTTAAAGATGATCCTTCATAAACCCAGAAGCCATAATGTGAAACAGAGAGAAGTGTGAGTACATAAGAATGTTTTAAAAGTCTTTCAGAGAAGAAAAATACAAAAAGGGAACACGTGAAAAACTTGGGGACTTAGTTGCTACACACGAGAAGCAAAGATGTCATTTCCTGCCTGCACAGAACTCCTAACAAGCCAGAGCAAGAGGCCTCCAGCTGACAGAACATGCAAAAGGTATGAACAAAATATAAACGTGCTAGAAGGAGCGCTCAACCTTATGCACGCAACTGCAATTTACAGGAGGAGATGCCATGTATCACTCAGCCGATCTGTAAAGTAAAAGAAGTCCGATCATCTGCTGTGTAAGCAAGCCTGTGTACAAAGCCACTGGCATCCATACTTGGGAATGTCATCTGGTCTATCTTCTCTCTCTTTTTTTTTTTTTTTGCGATACACGGGCCTCTCACTGTTGCGTCCTCTCCCGTTGCGGAGCACAGGCTCCGGACGCGCAGGCTCAGCGGCCACGGCTCATAGGCCTAGCCGCTCCGCGGCATGTGGGATCTTCCCGGACCGGGGCACGAACCCGGGTCCTCTGCATCGGCAGGTGGACTCTCAACCACTGCGCCACCAGGGAAGCCCTATCTTCTTTTTTTTTAATTGAAGTATAGTTGATTTACAATGTTGTGTTAGCTTCTGGTGTACAGCAAAGTGATTCAGTTATACATACATACATACATACATACATATATATATATATACTTATATATTCTTTTTCAGACTTTTTTCCATTATGGTTTATTACAAGACACTGAATATAGCTGCCTCTGCTATACAGTAGATCCTTGTTGTTTCTTTTTTTTTTTTTTTTTTTTTTTG